GTTTCCGATGATAACAGACATATGGACACATTTTCGCATTTTTTGTGGACCGAATATGATCAATTCTGTGTATCCCTCTAGTTTGTTATTGCAATAGTTCTATAAAGATCATAATTTATCACGCTAGCAATATCGCAGAATGCTCTTCTCTGTTGTTTGCGGTCCTTCGGTAGTTTGGCGGTAAGTTTAGGGACTTAAAACGCTAAAAACCGATGGGTACAACACAAATAACCCATTGTGTAATTTTGTGTCTAACAGTAAGCAAACAAACTATGTTTGCGATCAACACTTCGGGTCTCTTGGTGGGTCAGCTGTAAATTTGCAGACGTACAATGCTAAAATCCAAGGTCCGATTCCCTGTGTTGGACAGACAGAACGACAACTTTGTCACTGCCTATGTGATATCAACTTTACTTCATTAGTAAAACTTAGAATTGCACCTAATTTTTCTCTTGTCTTCAATGATCTTTATTAAGGTAGAATTATTCTTGCATTCTAGATATATCCAGAATTAATCAATATTGAATGATTCAAACACTACATCAAACAATTTCATCTATCGCTCCAGCCCCTTAATGTCAAAGGTAAACTTAAGGGCTTATAATGCTAAAAATTGTGGTTTGATATTCGCGGGGGGGGGGGGACACAGTGAAAGTAGCCAATTGTGTAGATTTGCGTTTAAATACAAACAAAAAACAAACTTATCGGTCAAACTTGTAGCGTGTAATCTATATATATAAAGCAGAAGTGGAGTCTCTGTGGCCACTTTTCACGCCAGCACTATTTGACCAATCTCAACCAAACTTGGAATGTACTCTTAGAGCAAAGAGGAGTTAGCATTTGGACGTGACCCCTATGTCATCCTCCGGGGGAAGGGGTCCTTAAGTGTTTCCCGGGCTATTCTACTTTTCTATACCAAACTTCGAAGGCTTGGTTTGGTTTGAATTTCGCGCAAAGCTACCCGAGGTCTATCTGCAGTAGCTGTCTTTAATTTAGCAGTGATAGACTAGAGGAAAGGCAACCAACCAACAACACCCACCGCTAACTCTCGAGCTATTCTTTTACCAACGAATACTAGGATTGACTTTCACGTTAACGCCCCCACGGCTAAAAAGGCGAGCATGTTCGGTGACAGGGATTTGCTCCCGCGATCAGCAGAGTGCAAGTCAAGCGCCCTAACCATTAGGCTAGGCCAGGCCACTTCGAAAGCACCCTTAAGACACTCCAGGGGGAATGGCATTAGGGCGTTCGGATCTGACTCCCTTTTCCCTCCTGGGGCTCCTATGTTTTTCCCGAGCTTTAAACGGGCACGTAAGCTAGTTACTAAGAATAAAGAAATGAAATAATTTAATATAAAACATATAAAGTTTTAAAATTATAATTAAAATGATGTGTATGTAGATACATAGAAAAAAATACGGTACAACAACTGAGTTTCAAAAAACGTAACCAGCCTATAAGATCTTATCATTTAATATATAAAACAACTCAGTCACTCCAAGAGCACAAAGTTTCCACGAATTCAAGATGATTCACGGTAATTCCGAGAATCAAATAAGCTAGTACACATAGGATTCTAGAAACCATAAATGATGATCTAATTTGTTTTTGAAGAGTTTTGTTTGAGCTTGGACAAAAACTAGGATTTGAAATACCAGGAAGGTCTTTAAACCCCGGTTTAATTTGAGATTCTTATAACGACGATCGCGAAAACAGATACCTACAGGTAAAAACAACAACAATAAAACAAAACAAGGAACAATAAAAGGGTAACGTATAACATTGAAATTAAGATGAAAAAACTTTAATATCGGCTTTCTCATGTAAGTCTATACATAGATTCCTTATGATTTGGTATGTGCACCTATCCTAACATAGTATGTTGGATCCAGGGCGTTGATGGCGCCCTATGCGAGATATAAATTTTGCACTCCTCAAAAAATCCAAACTACTTGCTCTTTGCCTACAAAAATGCAAACTTGCGCCCTCTACGGGTCTGCGCTCTGTGCGGGCGCACCGATCGCAGTGCCCTTGGTACTGCCCTGGCTGGATAATAGAAGCTTTAAATGTGACATTGACGGAGGCGGCTTGTATTCTTGGATAGTTCAGTGGTAAAGCACTGGCCCTATTAGCCAGAGGTCCTAGGTTAAAGTTCCAGTTCCGGATTTTCATTTCATTTATCGGCTTTTTTCATTTAAAATGTAATGGAAGTTAGAAATAAATGTAACACTGTGTACCTATTATATTGTGGATCATAGTTGTAGTAAAAAAACTTTATAAGTTAGCCAGGGATCCTGGGTTGAAGTTCCGATCTTGAAGTCTCTTTTCACTTATCGGCTTTTCCACTTAAACTAAAACAAAACAAGAAGCCAGACATACATGCATTTTTTATTTATTTTGTGAGCTAAATAGTATTGAAAACAACAACAAAAACAGAACGCTTTATCTATAAAAATGCTAGTTTTTAATAATTACTTAATTGGAATACTGACGGACATTTGTTGATTTGGGTTTGATAAAAGAATATCGAAATAACTTTATTTACTCTAAAGCAGAAGTCGGCGCTCTAAAGCACAGCAAAAACTTGTATGGAAATATAAAATTAAACGTTGATATCTAGCATGAATTGTTTTTATTTGAAATTAGTGCGTTCAGGCAAAGTTTTCGCTACTCCTACCAAACATTTCATAGCTAAATTGGTTTATTTTAATAGTATTTTCTGAAGTATTCTAAGTTTTTAACATAGATTCAGAATGAATTTATTCTTGATGTATTATATATGTATAGGTGTGTGTGTATTATTTTATATTAAATATGCCACGTAATATTCTGACTGCATCATCTAAGGCACAAAACAAAGCCCGCTAAATAGAACTGTTTAAAAAACATATATACCTTATATTATTCGTCTCGTTGTATTACAATACTTAAACATAAACACTCAGTTTTCGAATGGACTAAATATAAGTATAGATCCATTATACTAGTAGTCTAAATTATTATACCAGTGGTTTTTCAAATATTACGTATATAATTGATACTTAAAACCGTCGGTACTTGCAGAAACTCCATAAGACAAATGTACTAGCGAAACTATTGTCGTGAATAAATGATGTAGTTGTGAAACGTTCAATTATCTTTTTTTTTTTACCTAAAATTTGGTATTATTTATACATTCTAAAATTCAAATTCAAATATTTAAGAAAATATTTCAGCTCAGGGATGCATACATTTGCTGGCATGGGAATGCTTACGGAATAAATCCTAATGTTATGTAAATGAATGAATGTTAGGTGTCTGGTCAACTTTATATCAAAATTATAATTTCACAATTTAATTTTCAGAACAATAATAAGGTAAGTGTTTTCACTTGCATGCTATTATACTAGTTTATAAGGCTTTACAAGTGAGGGTCTGTCTGTGATTTAAACGGAAAAGAAAAAAAGAATAACAGTCTGAAGGTTGCTTATATAAGCGACAGCGGCATGTACACCGACAAAGTTAATACAAGAACAAAAGGTGTTAAACCTTTAGCTAAATGCCAAAAGGTGACATAGTTTATGTTCTTTAATCAAGTTTATTTTTCCCTTTATCAAAGGGAAACCTTAGAGAAAAGAATGCATGTACACCGACAAAGTTAATACAAGAACAAAAGGTGTTAAACCTTTAGCTAAATGCCAAAAGGTGACATAGTTTATGTTCTTTAATCAAGTTTATTTTTCCCTTTATCAAAGGGAAACCTTTGATAGGTTTGTATTGTTTTGTATAAAGTAGGTCTCAAGTTAATAACAACTTATAGAAAAGAATACATGTACACCGACAAAGTTAATACAAGAACAAAAGGTGTTAAACCTTTAGCTAAATGCCAAAAGGTGACATAGTTTATGTTCTTTAATCAAGTTTATTTTTATTCTTTTCTATAAGTTGTTATTAACTTGAGACCTACTTTATACAAAACAATACAAACCTATCAAAGGTTTCCCTTAAGGAATTATTAAACAAAAAGAACTGGCTAGCTGAACAAGCACAATAATATAACCTTGTTTAGTACAACGTAAACAGAAAAAAATTACAAGATGCTCTATTACAACGCCTCACTAATAATAATGAATAATATCATACAATAAAGTTTAATATTGTTTGAAAATTCCACTCAGTACAAAAACAGTTTCTTGACAATGACAGACGTTTCTATTCTGCCTGTTAAGTTTCAGCTTTATAACTTTGCTTGTTTTCGTAGTGATGGTGAACAGAATTCGTGTACTTTCAACTTCATATATAAGTAATATTATTTTTTACTAAGATATATAAATAAATAAATTATAGTGCAACTACGTACTTTTACAACTAAAGGTCATGGTTTTATCTGATGTAACTTAAATTTTCAATCTAAAAGGCGTCCCATGCGCGCATGGGTTAAACGACCTTTATTTTGATCTAGTGACAAAAGGGGTGGAAGCCAGCCAAGTACCCCGCTACCACAAGAGGGTTGTCCGACTCTTTAAGCCGAATAACGGGATTGAATGCCATTCTTATAGCCAGCCCACAGTTTTTAAAAGTGCATAGCATCTTCAGGGCATTACGTCTCTAATCTCGGACCCTCGGTACGCAGCCCGACAAGCCGGCCTTTTTCTGGTTAATATTAGGATTAGTTACACAAAGGTAATAATAACTCTTTTATGTGTCGAGGGGAACTATTTCGGATTACACTAATACTTTTTTCCCCTCGTTTTATATCAGAATGGACGCATTACAATATAAATGAGCGATTTAAAATAAACTTTCTGGATAAATTCTGTGCTATTAATTGAAAGGAGTAACCACAAGGAAATGTTGTTCGATGCAGTTAACGTGAATCGACTCTAGTGGTAGATCTAGTTTTGGATAAAACTGTTTTCTTACACTTTCGTATTTGTATTGACATTTTAATTTTCTCATTCTATATACATTACCTTACTCTTTTGATAAGCTACATGCATATATTTAAAAAAAATGCTTACGCTGTTGGAGTTCCCAGAAAAGTGTGGGTCAAATGCAGACAATTCATATTTCCTTCCTCTTAAACCAAGTCATTTGAGTCTTGCTTTCAGCTTTGGTGTTCGTCTGAAAGTAATGCATACAATACCAGCTGAACAAAATTTGAAGAAAACCACCAGAACCAGATTGCTGTACCATCATATGCCTTAAGTACATTTCCGATGAAAATTGTTAGATAACGTTGTCCGACATATTATATAGCAAGGTTTAGTTAAGAATATGCGATAAGGAAAGGCAAATTTGACACCAATTGATATTTTAATTATAATAAATAGCATCTTATTGCTGTTTCGTAATTCCTTTTATTTGTAACCACAATATGTCGGTTAGTGGCCACCAAATAATGATATCACAGATTAATCTAAGTAGTTTATTTACTACCACTAGTTGCGTATAAAACTTGAAAGTGTATATTTAAAAATTGCAATTCAAACTTACTTTAATTACAACATAACTGCAATTTAAAAAAAAGTATATTGTAAAAATTATATTTGTTTAAACAAATCTTTGTTTCCATGAGAACTTTCTTAAATAATCCAAACTTTTAAGTTCCGTTTTTAACGTCTGGAGAAAAAGAAAGAATGGGAACGTTTTTCTCAATTTTCGGCTGCTACACTCTTTTAAAATAAGGTACATGCCATATTAGACATTTCTGCATAAACTGTATGAAAGATGAATAGGAAAAAATTACGAATTATCGTAACAAAATAATGTATTTTATTTTCCAAAACAAATAGTTCCAGAACGAAATATGGTAGGCCTATAATATCGTGTATATTTAAGTATTACGATACAAAGTCTAATAGATAAGAAGTATAATATTATATTATCACTACAGCGAGAAATTTTGGCTGGTTGTTTGCAATTAAGCACAAAGTTTCACAACGGGCTTTCTATGCTCTCCCTACTACGGGTATCGAAACCCGGTTTCTAGCATTGTAAGTCCGCAGACATTCCGCTGTGCCACTGGGGGCGTGGGTACAGACCTATGATTATTAGATTGACAAAAATATTTCTGTGCCACATTTTGATATCACAAGAAAAAAAAATATTATAATCTTTTTGGCTATTTGTTTCACTGCAGCGAGGAAACATATATAACATTTTATAAGTGTTTCCAGCATAGAGTTAACTGTACTTTCTATAACGATGTTCTAGATCCATAGCTGCCCTGGGAAGTAGTTCTTCATCGTGAAGTGTGTTCAGTCTGATGGCCAGGATTACATTCTGAATCCAACACCACAATTTCTGCGAAGGAGGGAGGAGGTCAATCTTTGACCACATAACTTGAGAAGTCTTCCATAGATCCTTCCCTAAAGGTGGACATATTTAAACAGAATAAATGCAAAATAGAACGTGACTGGATTAAAGTCAAGTGCCTTCACACGTATTTCGGAGAAGGGGATAGTATGAACACTGGTTTCATCTACCATGGTTTGTAAAAATGTTAATATTGTCTTAGACGTGTGGCTTGGCGTTTTACCCTGGTGTAGTAGCCATAGCTTCTCGACATCCTGGCCATACAGTCCAGAAATTCTACTTCGCATAATTGATGATGGGAGCTGTTGACTAGCTAGCGTTTCTTTAGTATATCAGTACGAAATTAGGGACTAGTACCGTAGTAGCTCTTGAGCAGCTTTGCGCGAATGTACGAGCAGCTTGTGCAGTTTTGATTTATAGGAGCAGCTTGTGCAGTCTTGGATTATAGGAGCAGCTTGTGCAGTCTTGGATTATAGGAGCAGCTTGTGCAGTCTTGGATTATAGGAGCAGCTTGTGCAGTCTTGATTTATAGGAGCAGCTTGTGCAGTCTTGATTTATAGGAGCAGCTTGTGCAGTCTTGATTTATAGGAGCAGCTTGTGCAGTCTTGGTTTTTTGAGGAGCAGCTTCTGCAGCTTTGGTTCATACTTTTCTTCAAAGGGCAAACTCTTTGTGAATTATGTTGTGCGACTTGTAAGGAATACTTTTGTGGTAGGTTTGGATTTTTCCTGTACAACCAGTATATGAACTGTGGCAATGGTGACGGCAGTCCTGCTGTGGTGTAATGCTATCTAAGTGATTTTTACATTGTTATATAGGTATGTTGATCTTTCTTTGCTGATACTGTTCACTATGCTATAAATATTCATCTTCGAAATTGGTGCGTCCTGGGTTTTGTATTTCTTTATTATTTTAGTATTAGAATATTATTCTTTATATGGGGCTTTAGTATTTTCAACTTGAAACACACCTTATGTGACATAGACTAAACAGCCAGGTCAGAGATCCCAAAAGCTCAGGTAAAGCAATTTCTAGCTTAGGACTGTTGACTAGGGAGCATGGAAAATACTCACCATCACCTGACACTTATATAGTCCCTCTTAACCAAATAGTGAGAATGACTGTCACTTTTATAACGCATTCATAAGTTAAAAGTGAGAAATGTGTTTGTCAGATATCTCGGGCACGAACTCTGATCTATTTGGTACATACAGAGGCACGCTATCCATTATGCCTCACCTGGCCCATAGGGTATTGGCATGTATACTCAGTTATAAGCCTATCTGTGACGGCATTACATTGTGAAATGATCTGATATTCGACATGAACCAAATATATATAAGCGCTAAACATATCGCTCGTTGCATCAAAATTCGCACCAGCGATGTCACGTCACTGCATTAACAGTATTAGTTTATGCTTATATTTGATAATTTTACACAGTATATAAAATAACAGTACTGTATGATTTCAGACAAGTAACTATACCAAACATTCATGATATAAAAACATAACCATCTAAGTAAAAAGTTGGAACAACAGACTTATTTTAAACAAATCTCGGTCTTTTTTAATATCAAGGAATGTTCTTTTTCTTCTTCTTTTCAGGGATCAGCCAAATTAATTTTAACACGCTAGATCAATTAGAAACAAAATAATTACTAGAGAAAACATATAATGTAAGTGACATACAGTATTAGTAATCGAGAAAAAAATCATCTTTAAAAATAATCGCTACGTTCTCTATCAAAAAGTTTCTGATGTATGTATGACATTTCACGATGTTCATCATGCAACTTTATTGACTGAAATTTATGCCTTTGAAGACCTTTCGTGGGAATTTCAGCTTTAGAAACCATATTTAACGTGTAAAAAAAAAGTAAATACGTTTGCTTGTCGTTAAGCGCAAAGCTACACAATGCGCTATCTGTGCTCTGCCCATCGCGGGTATTATCGAAACTCAATTTTTAGTGTTATAAGCCCTCAGATTTACCACTGAGGCATTTGGGAGGCAAGTAACTAAGAAGCAATCTTTCAAGGTGTGATGAGCATTTCTTATTTAACCGCTAATAATCTTCTGTGAGCAATACAGGTGCCTTGGTTTAACAAGAATATTAAAATATGAATTTGGCTAGTCTTATTCTTATATAATGAAGGCAAAAAACAAACATGTCAAATCAAAATAGTTTAATTTATTGTGGGTAATAGCCAGTGATATATATATTGTTTGCTATCTGCGCTAGCCGTCCCTAATTTAGCAGTGTAAGACTAGAGAGAAGGCAGCTAGTCATCACCACCCACCGCCAACTCTTGAGCTACTCTTTTACCAACGAATAGTGGGATTGACCGTCACATATAACGCCCCCACGGCTGAAAGGGCGAGCATGTTTGTTGTGACGGGGATTCGCAGATTGCGAGTCCAGCGCACTAACCACCTGGCCATGCCGGGCCATATATATATGATAAAGAGATGATGACTGCCTTAAAACCTACTGTTCACATATATATAAAGATTTAGCCCTTGGTTATCCCTGCTTTGAGATTATTGTACTGTACAAGCGTGCAAACTACTCCAAACAACTTCAACTAAATATTAAACAATCTATATACTACTAAAACTCTGATATTGTTTGTTCGTTTGTGTGTGTGCTTGTCTGTAATTATATACAGCAAAAACGGCGCATAAAAGCGCCATATTTGTAATGAAATGAGAATAGAAACAGAATAAAATAAGTTTCATTAAAATAGGGCCACGGGTTACCGAGTTAGCCGTTTTTCGGGTCACTTTTCGTACACTCCATTATTATAAAACTTCGTTTTCCACCTGATGAATCACTTTAAAATATCTTCTACACAACAATATATGCACAACAGAAATTAAATGATGGGATGAAAATGTGTTATAACGGTGTGTAAAAAGAACAACAATAAAATGGACTTACAATATTATTGACTATTTGCAAATAGTAACTATGGAGATGAGGTAATAAAATAAAAATCAAGTCGAGAAGAACAACAAAGTTTTATAAACGAAAACCTCTCGCCGAGCATTTGCTATTATATTATTTCCCAGTCAATGTTCCCATCTTCATTAAAAGACGTAAGATGACAAAAACAAGATCTTGAAGAATCTATCTATACACTATTAAAAGTCTGAGATTGTTTGTTTGTTTGCTTATTTTCTTAGTCAAAAAATCATTCATAACGATAGTTCGCGCTCTTTACAAAACTTCTTACTCTCACCAAAACCAGAAAAAAAACGTTGATTAGCTCTTTACGAAACTTCATTGGGCCACGGGTTACCGAGTTAGCATAGACTCTCCGTCCGAAGACTTAATTTGTATGTCGCTGTAATGGAGTATTGAAGCTATTGAAGTTATGTTAAGATTGAACGAAACTTATTAGTGGTAGCCTTATTTAGTGAACCTATACCCTGGTTACCTCGTTTCCAGATGGAGGTCCTTCTTGATTACCTTTAATATTTTTATCTGGAGAACGTGTATACCTTTTGAATCTCACCTGTTTCTTTGCTACGTATTATAATTTACCCGGGACGAGCCTCCAACTTATTACATAACTTGTTATTATTTCGAACAGTCTGAAACTGAGTTAAATGATAATTTAGATTTAGTAGATAAATAAATGCCGATATGTATCCAATTTATGATATTTGCCAACAAGATTGATACACACGGTTTCTTTTTTAATACAAATACGATTTAATATACAAATAATAACACAATTTACAGTTACAGTTATTACAAATAATGGTCTATATACTAAATATTTACAAACAATATCGAGTCTT